CAGGTAGGTTGTGAGGTGAATGCAGGCAGACAGGCAGAAAACACACCTACACACCATTATAGACAACACATATAATTTTGCAATCTGTCAGAATCCTGTCACAAACAGTTATCGGAGCATTGTGGGAAATCCTGCTCTAAAAGTAAATAGACACTAAACATTTTGATTAATTTAACTTTGCCACTTGATGCTCCCTCTTCGCCAGCCAAGTATGAATTAAAATGAAACACGAGTCTTGCTTTAAAGCCCAGATTGCCTCCTCCAGTAAGTCCAGAGCTGTCTAGACACTGCTCCAGGATAATCGCTCCAGATATGTTGGCAGTGAGCAGAAACCTGATGGTTTGCACTCTGCAGCTGACTGGACCATTTTTTTGGAAAGGTGGGGGTGGGGAGTATTGCAACTCAGATGGCTATAGCAATGAATTGTTTGTATTTTTGTAGTGCATAAACACATTCAGCTGACTGAGAACACAGGTGGGTATATTTAGAATTGTTACCAGAGCCTTCACACTGTCAGGGAACACCCTCTACAGTAGGTGTTATGTAGAGGTCATCATCAGCTTATTTTGGGAAGAAAGCCCTTAACAGAACTAACGGCTTCCTCAATTTAACAATTCTCACATCAAGAATTTTGATTGCTGCACTGAAGAGAAAAAGAAAACTTTTTTTTTCTCTTTTCAGAATTGCCCCTCAAGGACAGAACTCTTTATGGTTCAAACAGTAGCTGAAACAATGCACTACCAAACAGAAATTGAGCTGTACTATAACATTTGAGAACTGAAATTTAGTGGGTATTTTGCAATATTTTAGTGACTGCGCTACAGGGACTTTGAATTTAGTATGTGGACCATACAGTGATTGTTACCAGGGTGTATATCTGAGCGTAAGCAAAAGCAAAAGATGAGGGAAATTGAAAAGCACCAAATCCTGTGAAAATGTTTTCCGGCAAAAGCTAGGATACAAAAAGATACTGCATGAAGTCACACAGATTTCAGTATCTGTCTTCTTCAGTTAAAATGACACATAGGGGCAAAGTTAAGGCAGAGAAAGACCTTTGACCAAGGAGAGGTTCTATTATCAGCTTAATTGGGTCTGTGGCTGATTTGTTTGAGAAAGGGATGTTACAAAAGAATCCCACCCTAGCAATAAAAATCAGGGATGGTTTAGATTTTTATTTCAGTTTTTATTCACCCAATTTGTTTTTAAGGCAGTCTTTGGAACACATTTTGGCAGGCAGTGTAAAGCTGGGAAATTATAAACACACACAGGAATATGTAGCCAGTGGGCTGTTCTAGACAGGCAGGGAATGTAAGAGGGCGCTGTCTGGTTTTGCTACTGTTTAAAGAATGCTGGATGCTCTGTGAAAATGGGAGCAGTGTTTGCACATGTACAGGTTGAACGGGCTCCTGCCAAGAGGCCTCCCCTTGTCAGGACATGGGCTTTCTGAGTGCCCGATTAATAAAAGCACTCACCCGAGTATATGCTGAGCTCTATGATCGGAGTTTGAGGCTGTTACACGCCTCTCCTCCGATCAGCACTGAACCTCCTACTGTATACGGGGCTGTGTTACCTGCAATGTCTTATAAAAGAGGGGCTGCCTGCACTTCCTCATTCTCCCCTGTGTGCGGTTGCTGGGTTCGTAGCAGCAAGTTGAGATATTAATTCCACATTGAGTGGGTATAATGACAATAATTGGCCTCTAAAATTAAAAAAGACAATATGGATGTTATACAAGCCACCTTACACACTGTCACCCTCGTATTCAATTATATGAAAGGATCCACATAATGAATCTAATCCAGCCAATATGAATCCACCATTGTTATGCTGTTATAGAACATACTGTACATTGTCCTCCAGTGCTCCTGTTTTGACCCTTCTTTGCAAGATTTGTGGCCCAGTGATAAAAGCCGTCAGATGTGGGGTGATGGTTTGGGCAATTTGTTAACAATTAAATATAATATATATATTATATATTTTTTTAGATGCATTGCATTTGTGCATGCTGCAGTAATATAGCTGTAGATGTTGCACAAGGCTTTTGACCGTAGAGCCTTGAGTTTCTTTTTAAACAGGTGGGGCTGCCTGGGCAAAAGCTTGTGGATGATCATGTAACCCCTGAGTTACTGAATTAGAAGAAAATGCTTAATTTTTTCATCTCTGAGAGCAGAGGTTTTTGTCTCGCTGAAGGAGGGATGTACTATTGTTTACTAGTTATGGGTCACTATGTGTTGGCATTGTTAGGAAGAACTGCATGCATTCTTTGAGCAAAAACACAGTGTGTTCCCAGAGCATGAGACCAACCCTAAACTGTGGATTTCTGCTTGGATCAACCAAAGTCATCTTGTCCCAAATCTATAAATGTGTACTACAGCAGATAGGGAACATTAAAATATAGAGGTATATTTTGTACTTCAAAACTATTAAGCCGGATTATTCTTCCTTAGTTAATATACAGCAATTGGGAATTTAATGTTTTCAAAGAGCTGCATAATGACAGCATGCAGTGATCTTACAAAATATTTTCCTACCTGATGTAACTCATCTTCTGTTAGAGATTTTGCTATTGACAGGGCTGTGTCAAATAGTTTAATATTAGTATAATAGTTTAATAATTTATAAATAGTTTTCTTCATTGACTCACAAATTTCCAATGCATGACAAACATTTAGCGATAAGAC